TTACGTACGACTGCCATTGACTTGAAAATGTGTTCTCAAGGTACTTCAGTTTTACAGGATCTGCTTCGAAGATCACTGTTGGCAGTGGAAAGACTCCCACTGCTGGCCTCTTTAATATGGATCATGCCATACATTTCATTCACAGATTTAAAAAGGCAGTGCAAAATGAGGCTAATATTGTTTCCCATTACGTCTGTGTCTGTGGTAGTGTGTCTGTACTACTGTGAGCACGCACATGCATGTTCCTCTACGAGTATAGTGTAAAATTGGGAAACACGCTGTGTAACAGTTCTGTATCTCCCAGGGACTGGACTAAACAGTTGTAGTGCACAAGGGATGTGACTGCTGAACGGTGATATTTGCCTGTTGGTGGGGGTTTTTTCCACCAAGTTTCCGTGACGTGGGAGTTCCTTGCCTGTGTAGGAAGTCACAGGAAGATTTTTTTCAGAGAGCTTGACACTGGCACAGGGATGAGAGCAGTCTCCTTGTTCAGCGTTCAGAAAAATGTGGCTGGAGACGTATTTTTTGAGTGACATATTTTCACAAAAGGATCTGACAGCACTTGAATAAAGTTAGGACAGAGACACTAGTAGCCAGAACTGGTGCTTGGCAGAAACAGGAGGTAGGGCAGTTTGGAAACTCTGAATACAGAGATGCTTCGCTAGAGCTCAGTATTGCTGCCTTTGCTGTTAATCCATTACTGCCCAAATTAACAAGAGGAATGACATATGCAATAAATGAGGTCTAGGATCTGTGTCCACATAATTCCTTCCCAGAGAAGATTTTGAACCATGACAGTGGTTCAATCACTCAGCAACTTCTTAGACACAGGTGTTTTGTTCTCAGATGCCCATATATACTGTATCTAACACCATCCCCCACTGACCTGTACTTTCTGCATATTCAACCTGTAGGATAGGTTTGAGTTTAATGCGATGACATCACAGAAGGGTGGTAATATCAACTCACCTCTATACTTTAAAGGGGCAAGATTCATTTTGTATAAGCCGTGCATAGTACAAAGGCACTGTTTATATTTTGTAGGATTTAAAAATACAGACTACTGAGATAATGGGTGACAATGTAATTTCTTAAAAAAAGGTTGTGTATGAGTTTCTATATCAGCTAGATAAATAAATGCCATAAAGAATCATGTATCTTAACTATTACTGGCCCAGAGCTCATCATTTTTTGTCCAGGCAAGGGAAAGAAAATCCATGGTTATCATGCCTATGTAAGATTTACGCTGCCACAGTACCTTTGAGTTCACAAATTAGTAAACACAGTTTTGACAAATCTATATACTTATATATTTATTTTATCATGCAACTAACTAGTAAACAAGAGAGAAAAAGTAATCTAATTCCTTATCTTCCTTGCTATTGAAACAGAAATATTTTGTATATTTGATGGCAGTGTCAATGATCATTTAAGAGCGCCACTATACTAAGTTTCAGAGCACTGCTTTTAACCTTTATCCTCTAGACATTTTTCAGTCCATTTAAGTCAATGAGAGTTTTGTATGTGAAAACATCACACAAGTATGAATCGTTAGCGTCTAAGCAACTGAAACTCAAGAATTAGTTCAGAGAAAATGTACATGTGCTATAAAGATGACGCTAAAAATAAGAAGTGCTGTGGTTTTTACAGACATAATAATTGAAACAAACTGATTTTGCAAATGTAGGCAATTTGGAACTGATGAATTGCAGTCATAACATCACTCTCATTTCTGGTAGTTTCTAAAACAGAAAACTCACTTTCTATCACTACAGATGACACAAGCTGTGTGCTAAAGTAATAGGAGATTGCTGAATCCCATTTCACTTTCCAAACAGAAAATTTTGGACAAAACATTGAACAAACTGCAGATACCTGAGGTACTCAAATAATGAAGCTGGCTTTTTTATTTATAATTATTTAACCTCCTAGAATATGATCATCACTTAAGCTATAAATCTGAACTGATACATATATTTCATCAGTATGGTGTAACATCAACTTTTATAGCAACAGAAAAAGAACACACATCTTTACAGTGTTTATAACGAGCAGAATTAAGGGAGGATATAAAGTCTCAGAGTTGTTACACAATTTCTTTGTTATGCAGAACAAACTCCATAAAACACCCTGTTTCAAAATCTGTTTCTTATTAGGCAGTTACAGAAAAAGAAAATAAAAATACCGTATGATTTACTGATACACATTTTGTCCAAATCAGATTAATTTATCTCTTTTCTCTGTCCAAATTTAAGTACTTTAAAAATGCATAGCTACGGCCTTTTTTTGATAGGATTTGCAAAACAGCTTTCATTGTTGACAGCACTAGAAAAACTAAGCATCAAAATGTAAGCTATTAAGTAGTGGATGTAATGTTCCAGTCCAGAAACCAGTTATTTTCAAAAGCAGTGGTAACAAATGGGGTCTTTCTACAAAGGCCCGATCCTGCCACTGGTACTGCCTTCTTGTACACATTTTCAACGTTCTGAACCAACTTGTGCACACAAGGTCATCCCCTGTAGATCTGCCCTCAAATTCAGATAAAATAAGGGAAGTGCTTAAATTTCTGTGAACACTTAAGCCTGCTCTTTCTCAAGAAAGCACCTACATGCTGACTAGACCGCGAAACGCTTGCGTTAGAAATCTCTGACAAAGCAGAACTAATTTCATATCATCTGTTCCGTAAGTAACATCTGCTTTGATCTATAGAAACAGATAGATGCACACGCAGCCAAAGGCACTGATGAGGTCTGTTCTGGGATGCCTCACGTACACGTAGTCAGGTGTGTGCACGGAGAGGAAAAGCAAAGGAGAGCCATGAGAGGGACAGGGCAATGGAGAGTCTCTCTACTTTTGGTGAGGAGACTGAGAAAACCTGGCTTGGCTAGTCCTACCGAATGAATGCTGAGAGAGGATATGATTGCAGTCTATTAATACATCCCGAGATAAACACCAGGGAGGGAGAAGAGCTATTTCAGTGGAGGACAATGTTGGCAGGAGAACAAATGACTATAATGTGGCCATGAGTTACACTTATCCTGGAAATTGAAACATTTCTGATTATGAGAGAACTGAGGTTCTGGAGCAGCTTCCCCCATCAGCAGTAGTGAGAACAAAATACTGAAATGCTTCCCAACTAAAACCTGATCAGTTTACGAAAGGGACTGTACGATATGGCTGCCTGTAACTGTAGAAGACCACATGCAGTGAGCAAGCAGATGCCTCCCGGTCCTGTGTCCCTGCACTCATTACTCACTCGCTCATAGGCCAGCCACAGAGGACGCTCTGGAGGAAGTCTTTTTCCTAGTTCACTGAGAAACTGAAGACATTACTAGTGAAACCATAAAAAAATTACATAGGATGTGCAATTCAAGAAAATGAATCTTCCTACAGGAACCTTAATTTGTTTGCATCTCCTGGATTTCTGTGGGTATGTCTTCAATTTTCATGAACTGTTCTTTAATCTCTAGTGCCTCAAACCGTACAAATACCTATGAAATAAATAATACATTTCTGCTCCAACCCTGACATGTTCACTTGGGACAGTTTGTGCGAGCTGCCGCTTGCACGTATGGATCGTTAAGGGACCTGTTGCATTCATGTGGTTTCTTACGGAACACGCTACAGCCATCTCCCAGTTCAGCAACTGTTTCCCGCTGCCACGTATTTACTAGCTGTACTTCTAATCCCCTTGCAACGTACACTATGTGGTCCTATCCCCACATTTTACTCTAACATACTAAACTAATTACATTAAACACAAAAGAATACAAACCAGAGTGGTTTGGATCTCCTAGCAACAAAAACTTCATATTTTTTTCTGAGGAAAACTGCTTTACTCAATGTATATTGAAATAATATGAAGTAAAAATATTTTCAAGTGCCATACCCAAAACTGCAAACATACTTCAACTCCACAGCTTTCGTAGGAATTAATGAAAGATAGGCAGCTAAAGTCCATGAAGAAAACAGTTTAGTATACACAAAACAGCGGGAGGAACACACTCTGTTAAAGCTCATCTGACATTAGACTTGATTTCATGCTGACCTTGCTCAGCTGGCAGATGCTTTTCCGGCTGTGTGTTGGCTGATATATATATATCTGACATCCTCAACTGCAAATTAACTGGAGTTAATTCTATGCAGATTAATTCTGCTGAAGGTCACACATTAAGAGGGTAGGAGGTTAAAGCCATAATGAAGTGGATGCCAGTAATGTCCACATCTGTATTTCTAGAGTATTGGCAGCACTTTTAACTTCCTTGGGAATCTACACAGAATATTGTTGGAGTTGTGAAGTTTTAGCCAGCAACACGACTGCATCCAGCTGAAACTTGAGAGGGTGGAGAAACCTCGCACACTACGGCTTGGAGCCTCAGAAAAAAGAACTGCAGATTGGTGAGAGGTTTTAGTGCACACTGGTTTATACCCCTTTTCTAAGGAAATAAATATGGCCAGCGTTGCCACTACAACAAAGTTTTAGGAGTCCAAGACCATCATATCTTGCCAGGTATAGCAAACCTCTTCGATGAGACGAAAGACATTTTGCACCAGATAGACTTGTGTTACTGCAACACTGGTTAAAGTTCTCATCCAGTGTAACAATTTCTTCTCCTTTAGCATATGTAATCGGTTATATTTTTATTAAGTGCCACTGCCAAACTGACTACACAGTGTGCTGCTTGAAAACGTATTTTACACAATCTCCGAGATAGAAAATTACATAGTAGCCATTTTTAAAGTTTCCATAATCTACTTATTCATGTGCTTAGATTAATATCTTTTGTAATGCTTATTAGGCAAACGAAATAGCGTACTTTTTCCATCTGTATTGTGATAAAGCACAGATTTAAAGAACACACAGCTATCTTGGCAATATGACAAGATATTTCTTCAGTGCTACTCACTCTAAAGTATTATTTTGGCCAAACTCTGTTACTAAATCAAGGAATGGTGAAAATTTTCATGAAGATTTTTCCAGAATATTGTGTATTCCTTACCTGTGGGCAGTCTTTGATGTAGTGTCCCTTGTTAAAACAGAGGTGGCACAGATAGTTAGGAGGTGGCCTCTTGCTGGGTTTTCTGGCTTCTGAAGAAAGGGATAGGTCAGAGAAATGCTCAGTGAGGGAGCTTAACCCATCCACAATGTTATTAAGAGAGCCATAGGGCGATGCACTCTTGTACAGACTGCTGCTCAGAGCCTGCAAAAGAAAAGAAAAAAGGCATGTAAAACACAGTACTGTATTAACAATTGTTCTGAGACTGATCTGAGATGGGGAAGAATAAAAATAGCAGGAAAAATGTGATTTTTTTCATCATTATTATTATTACGAACATGGCTGCATATTTAAGGACAGCAATATACAGGCCATTAATAAAGAGGTTTCACAAAGGCACTGCAATGGAGCCGATCACCCCACTGCTAAGCAAACTACTGAGCTTGCCATGGTTCACTTAGTCCAACCTTTCCGCTAAGCAATGACTGCTTTCTTGCGTTTGATGATAACCACATTCATGGTACGGTTAGAATACGCAGGCAAAAAGCTGAAAGAACAACCCACAAAAGGGAATGATTTTGTGTCCGAAACTATTTCCACAAACAACACTGAAATCAGGGAAAGGAAAAGAACACCAAGAAAAATGTAAAGTAATTTTTAATTTCCAATCTGGCTAATGAGACAGTCAACACAGTCCCGTGTTCAAATAATAACAAGAAACATTCAGATCTACATCTGTCTTGCGTTTTCTAAGGTGAAGCCTGCTGTGATTTAAACACTTCCTGATAAACAGTGAATACCTAGTTTTTGTACTTCACCTCAATAGGATCTTCACTCTCTCAATCTGCAAATCGCAACCCAGAGCTCCTGATTTGCCATTCAGTAGTTTTAGAACAGCAGGAAACTCATAATCACCTAAATAGCTAATCTCCCTAATGGAGATAACAAGGATTCATTCACTTTAATGTGTTAAGGCTCAAAAGAAACTGTGTAGTAGGCGTTAAAAAAGGTAAATAATAAAAAAAGAAAAAAAGACAACCCGCATGGTAATGAATCACCATAGAAACAGGATCAACTATTGAGAGTCCTCTCCACCCCGAACGGATGGGACACATTTCACAGGGTGCTCCTCTGTTAGGTGTGGTACACCTCACAAACATGAGATGCTCAAGGCATTCTCCTGGCATCAGAGAATTACTGCTGGTTTATGGGAAAGTGAGGAAAGAAGAGGTCCAATCTGTGCCTCTGTGGAGACCTTGTTTTTCAGTGCTATTAAACGCAAATATTTCAATGGAGCATTTCTATATGTCACTTGTGTTTTCATATGTTTATGTATGTTACATACGTATTAAAGACATGCATTGAAATTGATTTAGAGAGTTTGTGAAACAAACCTGAAATAGAAGTACGTTTATCTCAGAGATCTCATTCAGAATGTCTGCACAGTGAGTGCGTTTTCTGGGTAATGGTCACATACCGAAACAATCACATGGAAGCTCTAGGCAGAGTTAACCTGGATGAATCCCAGCTACCACTGAATCCCATCCCACTGCAGATGGCGGGTACTGTAAATAACAAATCAGCCCAAGTGGCAGGCGACCACCTTACAGATAATCCTCTTCACCCACCCTCGCTGTAGTCAAACACAACACGCTGAGCTCCACTGACCCCTCTTAAAAAGCTGAAGCTGGTGCGTGGCAGCAGGAGCAATTGAAAGGGCTGCAGAGTGGAGTCTGATCTCATGGGGGACTTCACACATGTCCGGGCACTGAAAGAGCCATCATTCTACCCCCAGCACAGCACACTTCTGTGCTGGTGCAAGATGTTCTTGCTGCTGAGAGGAGAATCAGTCACTTTGTTTCAGGGGTTAAACACATACATTTTAAAAGGAATAGCATTTCAAAGCCAAACGAAAAGGTTTAAGCTGCTTTAGCCATCAAGCAACCAAAGATAACTCCAACAGCCATGGAATTTATTTTCTAGGATTTCTGGACACTTACTGGAATGAGAAATTCTTGGCATCAAATTGTTAAAAGGAAGGGGAAGTGCTATGGATGCCAAAATAGTATTAATTAAGGGTCTTCAAGAAGTTCTTGTTTCCCTGGGAGCCACTTTCTCTTACATACACTTGGAATAATACAAAACCTTTCTTTTTAAGAGCCCCTCTTGCCAAGTGATTCTTAAAGTACTGCACATGCATTCTGCCCATCAGCAACTTTGCAAATTCCCTATTACCTATTTTTTATAGAAGGGTGGGTGTATAGGCACACAGAATGTGTGAAATCCCAAATTCTTTACCCATTGCTGAAATCTGGAACAGCCCCATGGAATGTAGGATATATAACTCCTGCCCATCATGACACTGATGTGACTGCCCCCGGGGCCAACCCAGCGACAAAACAAAACACACCTAGCTGCTGCTTTCCGTGGGCTTTGACCTGGACATACGGCTCACGGCATAACTATCTTCTTTTTGAGGTATCCTTTACATTAAGCTATTACCCCTGTTGTAAGGGGGTATATATTATGTAATTAACTCCCCTGAACGTTTCTTGGCACATGTCAGGTCAGTGCAGAAACACAAGGGTTGCAACGACCACAGTTTTACCCACTCTGTCAGCAAGCCTTCCATACAAACCTTTGTTTGTTTGAACCATGGCAGCCAGAAGCCTTGTCAAAGGCCAGGATCCCATCACGCTACAGGCTATACCGACACTAAATCATAACCCTAGCAGCCGCCAACAGCTCTGTGGCTGAAGCATGACATACGGCACTGAAAGCAGCCACCTGGTTCAGCTAGCAGGGTATTTGTGTGATATGTGCCAAAGCTGGACACGCCAAAACATCCAGTCTACACATGCCACCATGAAACACTTGCCTATAATCATCTTGAGGCCTGGTGTTAAAAAAGGAAAAGACACAAATATAACACCCCAGAAGATGATAGTAGAGGAGAATATGGATGTTGACAACGCCACTGGTGCTTCAAAGAGCAATGAATTCATTAAGGAAAATTCCTAGATGATCCTAAAATGCAGCCCATCCCTCCTGGTATAGAGCCAGGCAAACCCACTTCATTTCCTGCCAATCTGACCTGGAAAACGGTCTTAAATCAGTTTACCTCTGAGTCAATGTGAAAAACACATCAATCTGGCACTTGAAAGATGCTATAAAGAGCACCAGCGCAGACTGCTACATCCTGTCGCTAGCTGTGGAAATCTGCAGTTCCTCAGAAGATGAGGAAAAAAGCCACTCCAAAAAGCCAAGTTACATAATAAGGGTGGTGGTGGGAAAGTTCATCCCTGCCCCTGGAAACAAACAGCAAAAGCTCAGGAACATGTAATGAACGTGATGGAAGCAAACGGTGATTTAGTCCATTTTGTCTTTGTAGAATACAAGGGGTGAATGAGTATTTCTGAGATACATAAAACAGTATTTTTTTGTCTGGGGCACTTAGGTGGGCAAATAGGCGATTCAGCCCTTACTAACTGTTTGCATTGCTACAAAGGGGATTTTAAGAAGGGGTTTGAACAAAAGCTTTGAATTACCTTCACACTCAGAAGGGATGTCCAGGGGATGATCGGACTGACAGAGGGAATGCTGATGGTCTCATACAGACGGCAGTAGAAAGGAAAATAGAGAGGAAGAGGGAAATGCATTCTGACTCATTCTGGTCTCAAGCGTATTGGTGTACATCTGGGAGGGGGCAGGGAGACTGTTCTTAGGATGAATTCCACCAAAAGCAGTGACTACGTTGTGTTCACAGTGTCCCACTAACAAAGCCACCCTATTTCTCTCAAAAGGAGACAACACTTTGAAACCAAAACTCTCACTTGGAGTCTCATTTTGAGCTATGACAGGATAGAAAAGATTTGGCAGTGAAAGGGTTAGTGCTCTCAAGCAGCTGAAAGACCACACTGCATGTCCTAATTACAAAGCTCATCAGGCCAGCTGCAATGAATTCAGGATTTCCTTATCTTGCTGTACTGGGAGGATGGGAGAGCTGCTGGTAAAACTTGGAAACTGGCTTGGTGGGAAGTTAGAGCTGATAATGTAAGTTTGTTTGTTGTTTTTGTTTTCGTTTCTTCCTATGAAATTTGTTGACTTAATTGAACAAAAACCAAATTGAAAGCTTGGTGCACTTTCCAAAGGTAACCTCGCTGCTCAGCAGATCTTTAAACTGTGGTGGTGTTGGGAAGCAAGGCTTCCTTTGTTGTTTCTTTGCTGAACGTTTTCAGTTAAAGGGCATGTAATCTGTAAGCCTACATCGTGGTCCTTTGTGAAAGAGGCAGCTATTGTCTTCTACAGCTGTGTTACTCTGACTTCCAGTTGGGTAACATATGTGAGTGACTCAAGAATTCCAGCATCTAACTCCCCTTTAAGAAATTCCTAGTTATGTGAATGATCTGGCAAATGCTCTTGATTCCTTTGGCTGGTCCCTGCCTTTCTGAGAGAGCTCTTGGCATTAATGTGCCAAGAGGTGCATAAGGAAATACTGAAACAGAATTTATCTCTTCAGCTTCTTTTTTAATGATGGTGTCACGTTGAAAGTAAAGACAACTGTACTGTTAGGAATATGAAATAAAGCATTTGAGCACATAGGTGGTAAGTCTTCCTTTCCAAATTTCTCAGTTAGAGCTATTGCTTTAGTTGCAAAAGGCCCTTTTTTTAAGGGGGAGCAGAAGGCACGGATTGCATGACAGCATCTCAACTGTGACAACACTCAATTCTGCATGGAGTTTATGGGATTACCAATCTTCTAGAACAGTTGATATTAATAAGTGATAGCAACCTGTTTATGTGGGAATGGCATTTATTTATTAGGACTTATAGGGGCTAAGAAGCAAAGCTTTTTGGTTTTAAGGACTGGAAATGTAGAGGCATAGCTGGGAAATTTATTCTGCCCTAAGTTCTGTCTGTGGCTGCTGGACCTTTCTGGCAGTGATAAAAGGGTACAAATCCACCAATTACCTGAAGCTGGAATGACCTGTGCTGGTTGAAGTGGTTGATGGGCTATGCCTGGCTAGTTTGGTGATGTTGGGGTTGTTTGGTTTTATTTTTATTTTAGAATTACACTTTAAAACCAACTTCACCTGCCCCTTTGAAGACCTTCTTCCCCCACACCTATCCAAAAAAAGAAACTACATTACACACACAATATATCACCCATTCAAACAGACAGAAAGAAATATTTAAACTGCCTG